CCCAGAGCGGGGGTGCGTGTCCTTACCAGCTAGGCTACACACTCAATCCCCTTCTAAAGCAGGTGCCAGAAGAGGGCATGCGTGTCCCTTTCCAGCCAGTCTACACTCCCCCCTCCCTCCTCTAAAGCAGGTGCCAGAGCGGGGATGCGTGTCCTTACCAGCTAGACTACACACCCCCTCCTCATTTAAAGCAGGTGCCAGAGAGGGGATGCGTGTTCTTTCCAGCTAGACTACACACCCACTCCTCATTTAAAACAGGGCCAGAGAGGGCATGCGTGTCCTTTCCAGCTAGACTACACACCCCCTCCTCATTTTAAGCAGGGACCCAGAGAGGGCATGCGTGTCCTTATCAGCTAGACTACACACCCACTCCTCATCTAAAGCAGGCGCCCAGAGAGGGCATGCGTGTCCTTACCAGCTAGACTACACACCCACTCCTCATCTAAAGCAGGCGCCCAGAGAGGGCATGCGTGTCCTTACCAGCCAGGCTACACTCCCCCTCCTCATCTAAAGCAGGCGCCCAGAGAGGGCATGCGTGTCCTTACCAGCCAGGCTACACACCCACTCCTCATATAATGCAGGTGCCAGAGAGGGGATGCGTGTCCTTACCAGCCAGGCTACACACCCACTCCTCATCTAATGCAGGTGCCAGAGCGGGGATGCGTGTCCTTACCAGCCAGGCTACACTCCCACTCCTCATCTAATGCAGGTGCCAGAGCGGGGATGCGTGTCCTTACCAGCTAGACTACACACCCACTCCTCATCTAATGCAGGCGCCCAGAGCGGGGATGCGTGTCCTTACCAGCCAGGCTACACACCCACTCCTCATCTAATGCAGGCGCCCAGAGAGGGGATGCGTGTCCTTACCAGATAGCCTACACACCCACTCCTCATCTAATGCAGGCACCCAGAGAGGGGATGCGTGTCCTTACCAGCCAGGCTACACTCCCACTCCTCATCTAATGCAGGCACCCAGAGCGGGGATGCGTGTCCTTACCAGCTAGACTACACACCCACTCCTCATCTAATGCAGGTGCCAGAGCGGGGATGCGTGTCCTTACCAGCTAGCCTACACACCCACTCCTCATCTAATGCAGGTGCCAGAGAGGGGATGCGTGTCCTTACCAGCCAGGCTACACTCCCACTCCTCATCTAATGCAGGCGCCCAGAGAGGGGATGCGTGTCCTTACCAGCCAGGCTACACACCCACTCCTCATCTAATGCAGGTGCCAGAGCGGGGATGCGTGTCCTTACCAGCCAGGCTACACTCCCACTCCTCATCTAATGCAGGCACCCAGAGAGGGCATGCGTGTCCTTACCAGCTAGACTACACACCCACTCCTCATCTAATGCAGGTGCCAGAGCGGGCATGCGTGTCCTTACCAGCTAGACTACACACCCACTCCTCATCTAATGCAGGTGCCAGAGCGGGGATGCGTGTCCTTACCAGCCAGGCTACACTCCCACTCCTCATCTAATGCAGGTGCCAGAGAGGGGATGCGTGTCCTTACCAGCCAGGCTACACTCCCACTCCTCATCTAATGCAGGCACCCAGAGCGGGGATGCGTGTCCTTACCAGCCAGGCTACACACCCACTCCTCATCTAATGCAGGCGCCCAGAGAGGGGATGCGTGTCCTTACCAGCCAGGCTACACACCCACTCCTCATCTAATGCAGGCGCCCAGAGATGGGACTCATGTTCTTAACAGCCAGGCTACATACCCCACTCCTCATTTTTCTATTTTTGAAACTCAGTATATCTCAGTTTTATAATACAACAAAACAGAAATAGTGTTAAAAGTCAGCTTTGAAGATTATCAATGACACGGGATAAATTCATTTAAGATCAAATGAATAAAGCAGAATATGAAACTACATATAGCCCCCAAATTGCTTTTTTTTTTTTTTGACAGGCAGAGTGGACAGTGAGAGAGAGAGACAGAGAGAAAGGTCTTCCTTTGCCTTTGGTTCACCCTCCAATGGCCGCCGCAGTCGGTGCGCTGCAGCCGGTGCACCGCGCTGATCCAATGGCAGGAGCCAGGTGCTTCTCCTGGTCTCCCATGGGGTGCAGGGCCCAAGCACTTGGACCATCCTCCACTGCACTCCCTGGCCACAGCAGAGAGCTGGCCTGGAAGAGAGGCAACCAGGACAGAATCCGGCGCCCCGACCGGGACTAGAACCCGGTGTTCCGGCGCCGCAAGGCAGAGGATTAGCCTAGCGAGCCGCGGCGCCGGCCCCAAATTGCTTTTAAAGATGTTCATATACATCTACACACCAGCAGGAAAAGTTTCAGACAAGGGGCAGGCATCTGGCATCGCAGTTATGATGACACCTGGGATGCCCACATGCCATCTCAGAGTGTCTTGGTTCAAGTTCGGGGTCTGCTCCAGATTCTGGCTTCCTGCTAATGTCCGCCTGGGATGGCTCAAAGTAGTTGGGTCCCTGCCACCCATGTGGGAGCCTAGGATTGAGCTCTGGGTCTCTGGCACCCTCCTGGTCTAGTCCTACCTGTCATGAACATTTGGGGAATGAATCAACTAAACAGATCTGCCACACACACACACAAATACATAGAAACTACTGAAGGAATCAAAGTTTTTACAGAACAGCAATATATAAATCAGGATCAAGTCTGAGCAATATAATAAAGTGAAATTTTATGTTTCATTCTTATGTTTTTATTTTCCATCTCCAGTAAGTCTTAGAAGCAGTTAATACAGTTAAATTTCCCTGCTGTGTGCCTGCTAAGAAGTGTTCATCTGCTTTGCCAATCACAAAGAAACAGTATACCAACAACATTTCCAACCCACTTGGCTACACTAGGTCCTTTCCAAATACTAACGTCCTCCTCTTTCCACTGTCCCATGCTACATCAAAGGGATTTATTTGACATAAGCAATGAAAAATAGCCCAGAACAACTGCAATTATCAATTCTAAAGTCCTAGGGAAAGCACTTGGGGAAAGGCGCAGTGATTTAAATAACAGTGAGAACTCCAGGCGACCCTCAGAGCACCAGCGTGCCGCAAAGCACACTTCACAACCACGGCAGTGTTTATGAAATACTCTTTTCCAAGCTACACGTATCAAAATTCTCTGGGAATGCATTTTTAAAATAGCTTGTGGTAAGACAGATTCCACCTCCGTTACTTAACTTCATACTGAGACAAGCTGAGAATGGATGAAGTTGGAGAAGGAAGACACTAACTTGGTGAGGGGAAAGGGAAAAAGGATCATACAAATAAAGATAACTATAGGGCATTAGCTGCGACAAAAATAGCCCAATTAGGACACAAAACATCTCTACAAACAGGGTGTTCACAAACTGGGTCTCGGTTCTGATGCAGGAAGAAAGCAGAGACTTGTGGGTTGCTGGCCATCAGCAGGAACTTGGCAGAACACGTGAGTGGACAGCTGCAGCCATCCCAAGGACAGGAAAGCGGTTTTCAGGGGCTGGGACACAAGCTCCACCCCTGGGCTGAGGTACCAGTAGCCCACGGAGATGCCAGGGGCAAACGAGGCCAGTGGAGATAAACATCAAGGCTGAGAAACAACCGTGTGCAACAGAGAAAGCGCAGCCAGACGGGGTTCAAATTCTAGTCCTGCCCCTCACTCACCAGCTATGTGGTCTTAGGAAAGTCATTTGAATGTCAAGGCCTTAGTTTTGTCATCTGCTAATTAGGGACAACAACCTTACCCACCTCACAGGGCTGTTCTGAGATTTACTTACATGTATTATGGAATACCGTTGTGTATTCTGTAAGCTGAATTGGCAATAACACATTTACTTACTAGCTGTTGATTGAGAAATGTAAGAAAATACACAGAGGAGCTGGCACAGTGGGCTAAGCCTCTTCAACCTGAGGCCCTAGCATCCCATATGGGCACCAGCTCGTGTCCCAGCTGCTCCTCTTCCAATCCAGCTCTCTACTATGGCCTGGGAAAGCAGGTGGAGATGGCCCAAGTGCTTGGACCCCTGCACCTGCGAGGGAGACCCAGAAGAAGCACCTGGCTCCTGGCTTCAAATCAGCCCAGCTCCAGCCATTGTGGCTATGTGGGAGTAAACGAGTGGATGGAAGACCTTTCTCTCTGCCTCTTCCTTCTCTGTTCTATAACTGTACCTCTCAGATAAATAAATCCCAAAAAACAAAAAAGAAAGAAATGACATAGAGACACACGGAAGACTCATTCACATCACGACTTTTTCCCAGAGGTTTGTGCTAAGACTTACACTGCCATTGCCATTTTCTATTACAGGGACTACAATGACAATGAATATGTGGCACGGAACAGCAGAAAAAGAATCTACAGGCTTTGGAGGCAGGCAAATCTACGTCCGATCTCAGCTCTTCCACATCCTAGCTTTGAGCTCTTGGAAAAATTATCCTGAGTCTCAATACAGTATACTTCTTTGTGGAGGAAAAAAATAATAGTACCTGTCCTCACAGGGCTGCTGTGAAAATTAAACACAGTTACGTGAATAAAGCCACCTTTTCTCCCTCCAATAGCTGGAGGAGTCTCAAACTGGCACTGCCCTTTAGGGCTGGACTTTAGCAGGGTGTGGCAGGTGCTGCCAGGCAACACCGCTTATCTACGCTTCTTCTCTTCTTCGGAATATCTGAAAATATTAAGATGGTCTCATACTACTATGACAGATACAGCAGGAGGGGAGAAACAAGAAATTCTGCAGGCATAGCATACTTGGGAAGTGCTTCTAATGAAGGAAAAGAGAAGACACAAAACTAGAACCACATAGAACTGGAGTCATTATGATTACATTTTAAAAGGGTCTGTTGGACAAAATTACAAAATAATAATTGAGTAGGAAGAATTTATTTTTACTCATGTATTTGGTTATCTACTTTTGCACTGGAAAAACAGTGTAGTACCAAAATGTCCTCATGCTCTGTGCATTTCAGAAGTTTCTTTGATGAACATGTCCTCATTTTATAATTTAAAAAAAATATGTTAAAACAAGAATATAAATGTATAGGAAAAGAAATAAGAAGAAAATTAGCTGAAAACACTAACCATGGTTTTGCTCAGCTTTCCCAACTTTCTGTCACGTGGTTGACCTTACTTTTAGAACGAAAAGACACATTTTAAACAGCATCTTCCCTTAAGCTTGTCTCTCCCTAATCAGTGCCTATCTTTACTTCTTAGCTACAAGTTATTAACAAATAGTGTATTTCTTGGGCGTTTCAAGAACTCAGTCCCCGGATCTGCTGAGAACCCTGGGGAAGAGCTGAGCTGGACAGGCAGCTGCGCACCTGTTCTACAGTCCCTGGGCCTGCTGTTGCCCTTCTTCAAAACAAAGATTGTTCACCAGACTGCCGTGGCTCCCCCTTCACGCCATGCAGAGTCACTTCCCACGTGTCTTCCCTGCCCATGCACGCTAAAGAGGCACTCTGGAGGAACTTCAGTCTCGGCCATCACCCTCTTATTCATACATAACTCTCACCCATCCTGCTCCCTTCATCCTCCGCCCACGAACAGTGCGAGCTTAAGTGGGTATTCAGCAGCCACTTGTGGAATGAAGGAATGAATGAGTGAATCCTAAGGAGCAAGCCGACACGCCAACACCACGAGCTCTTGGTCTCAAAACGTGGGGAGTGTGCAGGTGGAAGAGAAGGCAGGGAGCAGGGGACTATCCTTCTGTGGGGCGTTTACTCACACAGCAACTTTGACTTTGACTCACCAAAAGGCCACACAACTTCTCGTCTAAAGGAAATCACTTCCTTCTCAGTGGGTAACTTGGCCAGGAAAAAATTTTTAAAGCAAGGTAACCGCTGACACTACACTTGCGGAATGGCCAATCCTGGAAAAATCGTGCCTAAACTGCACTGAAATTTCAGGCCACCGATCACACGGGGACCAAGACTTGCTCATCACTGTCTCCCACACCTGGCACACTTCACAGTCTTCAGAGCAAGTGGTCTTCAAAAGGTTCATGGAGAGTGGAATTGAAAGGTAAATTGATTTGGTGCCAAAAAAAATTTGAAATCCCTACACACAAGGGGTCTTCAAAAAGTTCATGAAAAATGGGTACTATGAAAGAACTATACAAAGATTTCAAAAACTTTTATACCAAAATCCACTTGTCTTTTAAAAAAATATTTATTTTATTTGAAAGTTAGAATTACAGTTCATGGCCACAATGACCAGGAGCTTAATGGGTCTCCCACATGGACGGCAGGGGCCCAAGCACTTGGGCCATCTTCCACTGCTTTTCTCAGGACATGAGTAGGGAGCTGGACCAGAAGTGGAGCGGCAGAGACATGAACCTGTGCCCACGAGATGCTGGTGTCTCACTGATGGCTTTACCTGCTAACGCCATTCTGCCAGCCCCCAAAATCAACTCATCTTTTAATTCCATTTTCTACCAACTTTTTGAAATATCCTCAAAGATGCCCAAAGTATTTGTTGAATAAGCACATGGCACCAGCTTCCTAAAGAAGGGCCATTCCACCTACCCTCACACTGAGGATACACTTATTTCAGAAACTGGCCAAAACAGCTGGGGAGGGCCCCGCAGCCTAAGCCTCTCTCTGGGCAGCAATTTGGTTCCTAGAACTCAACAGTCACCAAAGTAATAAAAAAAATATAAATTGTGCCACAGGTCACAAATATTACCTTCCTCAGAATACAAGTTGCCAATACACTAATAACCAATAACAGATTTATCTTGCCTTTTCAATTGTTACATGTAGTTTTGGTCACCAAGGATAGTTCAAAATGCTGAAGAACAAGAAGCCTGAAGAATTCTACCCCTTTTTCCATCCCTTTCTTGAAGCTTCAGTTCCATCCATCAACAGTCATAATGGTTTTCAGCCCAAAGGTAGTAGGGAGACTATAACCACCTAGGAGATGTAACGCGTTTTGGGACCAATCCATGGAAGATGCTATGAATCAAATCCCCAACCTGAGAGGTGGGGAAGTAAACGCACGCCTGTGGCCCTGACACCAACACACTCTGGGTCGAAGACATGCGTTCCCACCTTTTTTTTTTTTTACTCCCCCCTCGTTTTTTTTTTTTTTCGACAGGGAGAGCCCACAGCGAGAGAGAGAGAGACAGAGAGAAAGGTCTTCCTTTGCCTTTGGTTCACCCTCCAATGGCCGCCGCGGCCAGCGTACCACGCTGATCTGAAGGCAGGAGCCAGGTGCTTCTCCTGGTCTCCCATGGGGTGCAGGGCCCAAGCACTTGGGCCATCCTCCACTGCACTCCCGGGCCACAGCAGAGAGCTGGCCTGGAAGAGGGGCAACCGGGACAGAATCCGGCGCCCCGACCGGGACTAGAACCCGGTGTGCTGGCGCCGCTAGGCGGAGGATTAGCCTAGTGAGCCACGGCGCCGACCCCCACCATTTTTACTACAGGACTGCGACGCTGATGGACGCCAGACAGGTGCCTGTATTCCGACAACATTCACTTCACACGTACAGAGTTAAGAAGCGCCCGCGGAGACAAGCAAACGAAACATCAGAGCTTCGCGAAGAGCTGCTCAAATACTGGCTGCCAACAGCTGGCTGTTGCTGGAGTCAGGGCACGACCTCAGGGCTGTCCGGCTAACAGATCCGCTTTACCCAAAGTCAGCTAAACACCCTGGAGTGGCTCCTTGTTTAAACGGCTAATAGGAGTTCCCTCGCCACTCTGACCAGCGCTGCCGCCCCGATGGCCACGGCGACACCAGCAGCAGAGCGCGGTCTCCGGCCAAAGGCTCCCTAAACTTCTCTCCACTCGCAAGCACTTGAATCGCCCGAAAACTCCTCAGACCGGGGAGAAGCGCGTCTCCCGACTCGGGGAGGTCAGCGCCTGACGAGGGCTGCACTCTGCCTGTCGGCGGCCTCAATGAATGGGGAAAGTGACGAGAAGGGGGCAGGCTCCCAGCACCGCCTCCACCGGGACGGCCTCTTCTTTCGGCCTGGCACACGCGCTACCGGGGGCATCGGGCAGGGCCCCCGGAACACCGGGGCATCCAGCCTGACCCCAACTGCCCAGCCCGCCGCCAGCATCGCCGCGGGGGCTCACGGGCGGGGGCCGAGGCTGGCGGCGGGACTCCGAGCCCACTCGCCAGCCAGGATGGGGGCGGAGCCCGCTGCCCCCCAAGGCCACCAACTACTGAGGTACGGGCTCGGAGATGGAGGGTCGGCCCTCCCACTTCCTTCAAGCCGGAGGGGCTCGGCTGCCCCCAGCCTCCTCAAGGAAGTGCTCAGGGGGGTGTGTGGGGGCAGCCAGGACGGCGGCGGCCGGTACTCACAAAGCCCACTGGAGCCGGTGCTGGTGAACATGGTCCCGCCGGGCTCGGAGCCCCCGCGGGGGACCAGGGGGAGGGGAACCGGAGGTGGAGAGCCCCCGGCGACCGCGCAGGCGCACTCCCGGCGGGGCGGTGAATCCGGCGCCGTGATGCCACTCTAGGGGACGCCCTCCGGACTGCGCATGCGCGACTCAGGGGCGCGCCCACTCGGTCTGCGCCCTCCCTTCCTGCTGGGGAGGGGAAGTGCGTCCGCCGCGGACGGGGTTCGCGTGTGCGGAGTTTTCCGACGGCCGCGGCTGCAGTTAGGAAAGGGCTGAGATGGAGCTCAGGGGTAACCCTAGGAGCCGTACCTCTGTGCCCACCCGCGCTTCCGCACCCTGAGGAGCCGCGATGGCCGCAGATTCCTCTCGGTCCTTTAACAGTTCCTCGGACGGGACGCCCGGCGCGTCCCACGCATGCCCAGTCTTTCCGGCTAGCCCGTCTCGGGTTCCGGTGTCCAGCCAAGTGCGAGAGGTCTCTGGACGCGGACGGAAGGAGAGCTGGCCGACGCTCCCTCCATATGGGACAGCGGGCCCATCCAGCTGTCCCCTTGTGTCCGGACCCACGTCGGGCCCACGCGAGTGCACGCACCAAGCCCTAACGGCCCGGGAGGCCGCCCGCGCGGGGCGAGTCCAGCGCAGAGACCCTGCCGGCCTGTTGTCAGGTTAGGTTTTCTTCCCACTGCTGACTGAAATTGCTCTTTGCTAAAGTCACTTCACCTAAAATAGGTTTGAGCCTGAAAATTTTATTATACAATCGTTTAAAAAGTTTTTTTCAAAGAATAGGGGGAAATTGTCCATAGTACACGGCTAAATGAAAGGACAGGCTGCGAAAGTGTACAGCATACTTAAACAAGAAAAAAATGAATTTATTTGTACGAGCCAATGTAAATCTGAGATTCCCTTATTAACACAGTCCCCGCACCCTTAGAAGTTCCAGGGGACCGGAATAGTCACATTGATTAGATCTGGAAAGCAAAAATATAGGTGATTTTTCTTTCCTTCTTCAGGCTTGATTTATTTATTTTTTTTTTTTTTACAGTCTTGAAATACAGCTTATATTTAACCTTAGGTTAACCAGCTCAAATCTTTTGCAACCAAACGATTGTCCTTTATGTTTGCAGAAGTTGTCCGCTGGTGAGAAAGCCTGTAGCCTACATAGGACGGGGACTCGGTGTAGGTGTGGCGATCTCTGACCCAAAAAGGGAACCCAAAGGACAAAGCTATTTTCGTGGTACTGCTAAGACAATGCTGTCCGCACCCTGCCCCGGCTCACTCATGAGTATACAGTGGAGCTTTCCATAGTACTGGTGGAAGACCTGTGTAACACTCTGAACCAGTATTTTCCACTTGACCAATGCATGAGGTTATGAATTCATGCCTGGGTAAACGATTAGTTCAAGCTGCAAGATAAACCGAGAGGTGTTAGTGAACAGAGTACAAGAAGCTCATTGATAAGGCCTCAGGGTCCTCCCTGGAAGTACTTTTTAAGATACTACCATTTGTTGGCCAGTGCTGCGGCTCACTAGGCTAATCCTCCACCTGCGGCGCCAGCACCCCGGGTTCTAGTCCCGGTTGCTCCTCTTCCAGTCCAGCTCTCTGCTGTGGCTCGGGAATACAGTGGAGGATGGCCCAGGTGCTTGCGCCCCTGTACCTGCATGGGAGACCAGGAAGAAGCACCTGGCTCCTGCCTTTGGATCAGCGCAGTGCACTGGCCACAGAGGCCATAGGGGGGTGAACCAATGGAAGGAAGACCTTTCTCTCTGTCCACTCTGCCTGACCAAAAAAAAAAGAAAGTACCACTTGTTAAGATACTCAGTGTATAAAACAAGATATCCATTTTACCTGAAAACGCTATTGGAACGCTTACTTTGCCAGTTCTGTGTGAGGTGTGGTTTTGCTCATGTACATAAACAAAGACAACTTGTCAGAACAAACAACACAGAAGCAGATAGGAAGTTCTAGCTGACTTCTTTTGAACCAGACGTTAAAGAGATATTTGCCAAAGTGTGAAACAATGTTCTTCTCCAGATTTTTTTGCATGGTAAAGTGTGGTGGTGTCAAGAGAATTCAGTTCAGGGGCCAGCACTGTGGTGTAGCAGGTAAAGCCGCCGCCTGCAGTGTTGGCATCCCATATGGGCGCCGGTTCGAGTCCTTGCTGCTCCACTTCCTATCCAGCTCTCTGCTATGGCCAGGGAAAACAGTGGACAATGGCCCAGGTCCTTGAACCCCTGCACCAGCGTGGGAGACCTGGAAGAAGCTCCTGGCTCCTGGCTGCTGGCTTTGGATCAGTGCAGCTCCAGCCGCTGCAGCCATCTGGGGAGTGAACCAGCAGATGGAAGACCTCTCTCTCTCTCTCTCCTTCTCTCTCTCTGTGTAACTCTGACTTTCAAGTAAATAAATAAATCTTAAAAATAATAATAATAATTCAGTTGAATGCATGAGCTTACCTGTAGGAAAAGACATTTTTTCAAATTCATCTAAGATAGGAAGCCATCAAAATAAGGTGAATGGTTTTAAACAAAGAGTTGACAAACAGAGACACTTCCGAGATTTGTCTGAAAATTATAGTACTGTCCCTGAAATTTGTTTTGAAATGTAAATCGGAGAGGTGGGGCAGCCAGTGCTGCGGCTTAGTGGGTAAAAGATGCCGCCTACAGGGCCGGCATCCCATACGGGTGCTGGTTCGAGTCCTGGATGCTCCACTTCCTATCTGACTCTCTGCTATGGCCTGGGAAAGCAGTAGAAGATGGCCCAAGTCTTTGGGCCCCTGCACCCACCCGGGAGACCCGGAAGAAGCTCCTGGCTCCTGGCTTCATATTGGCTCAGCTCCAGCCATTGTGGCCATGTGGAGAGTGAACCAGTGGATGGAAGACCTTTCTCTCTCTTTTCCTCTGCCTCCCTGTAATTCTGCCTTTCAAATAAATAAGTAAATCTTAAAAAAAAAAAAAAAGAAAAGAAATGTAATCGGAAGGGTCTCATTCTTATAGAATAGTGTAAGTGGTACAATTTGTGACAATCTTAAACAATATTGGAGACAAATGAATCTTACCAGCTATGTAAGATTATTATGTCAGTAAGAAATTTAAATAATTTCCTCTATTCTGTGGAAAACTAATTTTATAGGCATGAGTGGAAGGATCTTTGTGAAATCCAAAAAGGTAGAAGCTCAGCTCTGAAATGAATTTTTTATTTTTTTAAAGATTTATTTATTTGCTTGAAAGGCAGAGTTACAGAGAGGCAGAGGCAGAGAGGTCTTCCATCCGCTGGTTCACTCCCCAAATGGCCGCAATAGCCGGGGCTGTGCACCTCTGAAGCCAGGAACCAGGGCTTCTTCTGGGTCTCCCACATGAGTGCAGGGCCCCAAGGACTTGGGTCATCTTCTACTGCTTTCCCAGGCCACAGCAGAGAGCTGGATCGGAAGTGGAGCAGCCGGGTCTCAAACTGGCACCCATATGGGATGCCAGCACTGCGGGCGGCAGCTTTACCTACTATGCCACAGCACTGGCCCCTGAAATGAATTTTAGACATTTGCCAGTGACTGTCAGTCATCTGTATGATAGTGAAGCTCTGCTGATGAAAAATGTACAATTCCTGGAGAATTAACACATTAAGTGAAAAATTGCTTATGAATTGTGCAGACAGGGGTCGGTGCTGTGGCACAGTAAAAAAAAGCCGCTGCCTGCTGTGCTGGCATCCTATATGGGCACTGGTTCGAGTCCTAGATGTTCCACTTCCAATACAGCTTTCTGCTAATGCCTCTGGGAAGGCACAGTGAGATGGCCCAGCTGCTTTGGCCCCTACAACTACGTGGGAGACCCAGAAGAAGCTCCTGGTTCCTAGCTTTCAATCAGCCCAGTTCTGGCCATTTCAGCCATTTGGGGAGTGGACCAGCAGAAGGAAAAATCTCTTTCTGTCTCTCCCTTTCTCTGTCTGTAACTCTGATTCTCAAAATTTAAACTCTTAAGAATTATTCCACAGGAATTCTTTTTTGCTTTTCTAGTGCCATGTACAACAGATGGAGCAGCAGTTACGTCAGCTGTTAATGGGGTTTAAAAACAAAAGCAGCAACAGCCACATGAACAGATCATTGAACTAATTATTCATTGACCACCTCAAAAATCTTATGAAAGACTCATCAGAAATCAATGAATGTTATCGGTGCCATTAATAAAATTAATGCCTCTAATAAAAGATTATTTTTATAATCTTTGTATTGATGGTGAAAAGGAGTTTGCTTTATCCTCATATGGAAATACAATGGCATTTCAAGGAAAATTCTTTAAAATGTTCACTGTTTAATGCTAATGTACAATTTTTTTTACCAGATTTATTTATTTGAAAGTCAGTGTTACAGAGAGGGAAAGAGAAACAGAGACAGACAGATCTTCCATCTGCTGCTTCACTCCCATAATGGCTAGGGCTCGGCAAGACCAAAGCCAAGTGCCAGGAGCTTCATCCAGGTCTTCCACGTGGGTGTCAGGGGCCCAAAGAGCTGGACCAACTTGCTGCTTTTCCCAGATCTTTAGCAGGGAGCTGGATCAGAAGTGGAACAGCAGGGACACAAACCGTCACCCATAAGGGATGCTGGCATCACAGGCAGCAGCTTTAACAGCTATGTCATAATGTCAGCCCTGAATTTTGTTTTCAATGAATTAGAAATTAAATAGTGACACCAAGTAAATCATATTATGAAATTGACATATATTTCATATTTTTCAGAAATGTTAAATGAAATCCTTACACTGCAAGCTGCGAGACTGATATTAAAGAAAAACAATTATTATGAGATTTTTCAATGAACTTAATCACTTTTAAAGATTCTGCTTGTGAAGAACGTTCATGGTCCCATTATTGGAAGTGGGTAAGGCTAGTTCTAGGGAGACTGGTATGGAGCTATGTTGTGAGTTTGAATGCTACTTAAAAACATTAGATCTAGAGATCAGTATCAACCTATAACATCAGATTAGGTGATTAATCCTTTGAAGATGATGCAACATATTAGCCAATGTTTACAGGAAATATTAATTGAACTAAAAATATTTTGGGGGTACCAAAGAATTATTTAATCCAATCACACACAGTTTTGGGTTCCGCTAAAACTTTCATTCAGCTCGGTTTCAAATGGGAGCTCTGTTGTTTATGGCGTATTCCATTCCCAGCTGCACATCCAGGTGAAAAGGGGTTCTCAGTGCAGTAGGACAGACCGCAAAAGCAGTAAAATGTAGCAGACCACTGAGATTCCTGGTAACAGAATTAGAACCTCATTACATTTTATCAATAAAATTAAGAAGGTTTTTTGTTTCACATTTTTGTCATCTGCTTAACTCTGACACGATCTTAGGTGCAAGTGGTTTTGGGGGTGGTGCTAAGAGTCACCAGTGGGAGGACGGGAAGGGAAGGAGGGAAACCACGGAGATGAATGATCCTACAGACTAACACTGCATGCAACCTGATCTCAACCCCATGGGAAGCCCCAGGAGCCAGTGTCTCAGCGTCAGCCCACTGAAGGGCAGGGGGCTGGGGTATTGATCCACTCACTCCCATCAGCCACTGCGGTGAGGTGACAATTCCCACTACATCCAGTCAGCCGTGCAAGTAAGGGGGAGGCTGTGGTAGGACAGCAAGTCCAAGGCTATGAGCTGTGGTGGGAAAGGACGCTGAG